AGTGGAGGGGTGAATGTACACATGGATAGACTGGGGCTTCGAGACCAGCGGCAAAGCTCACACTGACCTCTGCCTCCAGGTGACGCGGCTCTGTGACCTCTCGGTGGAAGGGGACTCAGTGACCTCCGTGGGCTGGTCTGAGCGGGTGAGTGCAGAGGGCTTGGTCCCCACCTGGGAGATCTGATGGGACCCTTGACCATGTTGGGGGCCTTGAAGACCCACAGGGGCTAGTGTGTGGCCTGAGGTCGCCTGTGTCCAAGCATAGGTCTGTGTCCCCCACTGTCCCCGGCCTTGGTGTGGTCCTGGTGGAGGGAGTAACAGGGATGAGCAGGCACCCGTCAGGCCCCCAGAAAGGATGGCAGGATCCGTGGGGAAGCAACACCCCGGTTCCTTCTGTGGGACCTGCCCACCCAGGACTCGCTCCCCTGGAGCTCCAGTTTCCACTCAGGGTGGAGTGGGTTTTAGTTCCATTTTAGACTACGATGAGAACATCCCAGCAGCAGCTTTGAAGCATGTCATGGGGAGGGCCTGTGCCCCCTGCCCAGAGCTGCCCAGGGCTGCCCCTAGTGCTTGTAACCCCTCGCTGTGTCCAGCGTGTACACTCAACCCTCCCTCCATCCACTTAGATTTTCATGCGCCTCAGTCAGTTGCAGACAGCCACACGTGTTGCCCAGCTCCTGGGCATGTGTGGAACCTGGAGCTCGGTGTCTGCAGTTTCTCCTTCCCTCTGTGTGACATGTCCCTGTGGGAAGGTCCACGTACCCTGAGTCTTGGCTGGACTCTGACAAACCCAGGCGTCGCATGCGTGGGGCGTGCCCGCCACCCCAGAATGTGCTGAGGGGATTTAAGCTGCTTCTAAAGAGACGTGCATTCAAGAGTCTTTAGGGAAGCCGTCCCAGAGCCCCGGTGAGGAGAGAGCCTGGCGTGACCAAGTCCAAGCCGGGCAGTCCCCGGGCCAGACCTGACGCTGGTGCTCTGCCTGTGCCTTCGCTCCTAGGGGAACCTGGTGGCGGTGGGCACACACAAGGGCTTTGTGCAAATCTGGGACGCGGCCGCAGGGAAGAAGCTGTCCATGTTGGAGGGCCACACAGCACGCGTCGGTGAGGTGCCCGGGTCCCATGGCTGGTGAGCTCCCCAAGGCCCCAGCTCCCCGAGGCCAGGAGAGGCTCACCCCTACTTCCGCCTGGCCTCCAGGGGCGCTGGCCTGGAACGCTGAGCAGCTGTCGTCCGGGAGCCGCGACCGCATGATCCTGCAGAGGGACATCCGCACCCCACCCCTGCAGTCAGAGCGGCGGCTGCAGGGCCACCGGCAGGAGGTGTGCGGGCTCAAGTGGTCCACAGACCACCAGCTCCTCGCCTCAGGGGGCAATGACAACAAGGTACCCCTGCCCCGAGCCTGGACTTCCCCTTCCCCAGGAGCCGCACCCCTCACGCTGGCAGGAATGGTGAAGCCTGGGCTGGGGGTGGGCGTGGGGCCCACTCCACAGCCATCAGCAGGGCCCTGGGCTTGTCCTTCCTGCTTAGCCAGTCCTGCCCTGTGGCACAGGGTGACGAGCGTGTGCCCCCAGGGGTCCTTGAGGGAGCAGCAGGAGGGGTGTGGGGTGGGGTGAGGACCAGCCTATGGGACCACAGGGCTGGGACAGCCCCGGCCTCACAGCCCCTGTCCCCCAGCTGCTGGTCTGGAATCACTCGAGCCTGAGCCCCGTGCAGCAGTACACGGAGCACCTGGCGGCCGTGAAGGCCATCGCCTGGTCCCCGCATCAGCACGGGCTGCTGGCCTCGGGGGGCGGCACAGCCGACCGCTGCATCCGCTTCTGGAACACGCTGACGGGACAGCCGCTGCAGTGTATCGACACGGGCTCCCAAGTGTGCAATCTGGCCTGGTCCAAGCACGCCAACGAGCTGGTGAGCACGGGTGACCCAGCCTCCCACCAGGCCTCAGGATGTGTGTCCTGCTGGCCCCTTGCCTGCCATCTGAGAGCGGCCTGTGGGGAGATGGGTCAGAGGCGCTGAAGGGAGATGGAGGAAGGAGGCTGGGCAGGGAGGCAGGGAGTTGTCGGGGGTGGAGGGGGAAGGCAAGGCCCCTGGGCCCCATCAGGGCCTCACCTGGGGCAAGACTTGGAGCCTCTGGGCCCTCGTCACAGCCACACCTGGCGGCTCTGTGAGGAGCCGGGGAGCTCCCACAGCTGCTTCTGCTGAGAGGGGAGGCCCAGGAGCAAGTGGGCTCTGCGGAGCACCCTGGCCTGCTTCAGCCACTCCAGGCATGCGCCACCAGGAGAGTGTCAGGGATGACTTGCAGGCGGGTCAGAGGGGCTGTGGGCCCTGTGTGGGTCCTTGTTGGGCTCCAGCCTTTGGCGGTGGGTGGAGGGCTACACCTGTGGCCTTCACACCTCCCAGACAGACTCAGGAGGCAGAGCCACATCCCCGTATCCCCTGCTCCTCCCGGGCTGGCTGGCGGCTCCGAGCTCTCTAACGGGCTCGGGCGGGTACATAGGAGGCAGCAGGCATAGCGCCCGGCCTCGTTCCCCCCACCGACCGCGGTGCCCCCTCCACCCTCCAGGTGAGCACGCACGGCTACTCACAGAACCAGATCCTTGTCTGGAAGTACCCCTCCCTGACCCAGGTGGCCAAGCTAACCGGGCACTCCTACCGCGTGCTATACCTGGTGAGTGCACGCCAGGCACTTCAAGGTGCCCCGGGATTCTGGACAAACTGCCGTGGCCGCCCCAGAGCACCTGTCCTGTGTTCTTAGGGAGGGTGGTGTGCAGATGTAAAACCCCGCGGGACCCAGCACCGGGGCTGGCTGTCGGAGCATCTGGTGCTGGTTGTATTGCCAGCGTTGGAATGGGCTTTACCGAACTCCCCAGCCCTGCAGGTGTGGGCCCTGTCCTCCTGGAGGACCTCAGCCTCTTCATTTGTTTATTTTCCCCAAAAAGAGGGGTGAAGAGGAAGGCCAAAATTACCTCACACCTGACCACTCAGATGACCCCGTGGCCGTCCTCGCAGTAACTGTGTGCACGTCGCTGGAAGGGGGCCAGGAGGCGTCCTTGACCCTACGTGCCCTCACTGGCCAAGGTTTTATTTCTTCCCTGAAAAACATGTTTTGTGCTTTCATCCGCGCATCTGACAGTCCCTCATCTACTCAGAGTGGACGGCCCCACCTTGCAAAGGGGTGTCCTTTGTGTTTTTGCAAAAATGCTCCAACCTTGGCCAGGTGCGATGGCTCACGCCTATAATCCCTCCACTTCAGGAAGCCAGGGTGGGAGGATCGCTTGAGCCCAGGAGTTCAAGACCAGCCTGGGCAACGTAGCAAGACCCCGTCTCTACAAAACCTTTTTTTAAGTGAGCCAGGTGTGGTGGTGTGCACTGTAGTCCCAGCTACTCAGGAGGCTGAGATGGGAGGATCACCTGAGCCCAGGAGATCAAGGCTGCAGTGAGCCAGGATCGCCCCACTGCACACTCCAGCCTGGGTGACAGAGCCAGAGCCTGTCTTAAAATTAAAAAAAAACAAAAAGACTCCATCCTTGGTTTCTTCCTGTGGTGGCCCCGGCCTGCTCCTCCCTCCTGGTCCCAGAGTCTGGGCTCTGCCCATGCAACCTGGGTTGGGGGTCCCAGCCACCCCACACCTTGCTCCCCTTTCCTTCGGTCCCCCAGCACTGTCCTGAGGCACCTAGAGGCCCGGTGACATGGGGTGCTTCCCTCCTGTCCACAGGCAATGTCCCCTGATGGGGAGGCCATCGTCACTGGTGCTGGAGACGAGACCCTGAGGTTCTGGAATGTCTTTAGCAAAACCCGTTCGACAAAGGTAAAGTGGGTCGGTATCAGCGCCACTCGCCCCCGCCCCAGCCTGTCCCAAGGTCGTCCCTATCCCCACTGTCCTCTGGCGTACCCTCCCCTGGGTCCCCCCACCTCCGAGCTTCCCTTACGTCAAATTCCGGGTCATGTGTCAGGGGCAGTGTGGCAGGCCGAGGCTGGACCGGCACCTCCCAGCCCCTCAGGACCAAGCCCCACAGCCTCAGGTTCCCTCCAGGCAGCTTCCTCCCTAGGGTTGCGGCTCAGCGTGTCTCCCACCCCCATGTGTCTGCAGGAGTCTGTGTCTGTGCTCAACCTCTTCACCAGGATCCGGTAAACCTACCGGGCAGGACCGCACCACGCCAGCCATCGTCGGAGGACCCCAGCTCCTCAGCTTGCATGGACCCTGCCTTCCCAGCGCTTGTCCCCCGAGGAAGGCGGCCGGGCGGGCGGGGAGCTGGGCCTGGAGGATCCTGGAGTCTCATTAAATGCCTGATTGTGAACCATGTCCACCAGTATCTGGGGTGGGCACGTGGTCGGGGACCCTCAGCATCAGGGGCTCTGTCTCCCTTCCTAAAGGGCAAGAACCACATTGGATGGTCCCGGCTCAGACCGTCTGTACTCAGAGCAATGGACGCCCCCTGGGACCCTCACTGCCTCCATCTGTTCATCACCTGCCCACCGGCGCCGCTTGCTCTTCCTGGAACTGCCCACGTCTGCACGGAACAGACCACCAGATACCAGGGCTGATTGGTGGGGGCCTCAGACCCCCGGTTGCCCATTCACGGCTGCAGTCCCACTATGTCAAACCCAAGGCCAGACCCAAGGCCAGACCAAGACGTGTAGGCCTGGGCAGATGGCTCAGGGCCACTGGCGGAACCGGCCTGTGGATCCAGGAGACAGTCCCCGCCTGGGCTTCACGGCGTCCTTGCAGCCACCTCTGCTGTCACCGCTCGAAGTAGCAGTGTCTCTGGAAGCATCTGTGTCACGGCCGTCACCTGGCAGGCAGTGGGCTTCAGATGGGCCTGTGCATCCTGGCTGAGCATCACCCTCACACCGGAGGAGGACGTCTGCTCTGGACTCGTCACCCCAGGAGAACTGAACACGGGCCTGCTCACTGCCCTGGCTGGAGAGGAGCACAACAGATGCCACATCCTCGTGCATTCTTCAACACGTGCCCTCACTGGGCCAGCGTCCCCCTTCCCCGCGCAAGACTTGCGTCCCCCGTGCCTGCTGGGTGGCTGGGTCCTGTGGAGGCCAGCGGCGGTGTGGCCCCCGCTCCCAGGCTGCCTGTGTCTTCGCCTGTCCTGTCCACCAGCGCCAGCGGCCATGGGGAAGCCAAGGAGACCCAAGGGGTCCAGGAGGTGGGCGCCCTCCGTCCTTCCAGAAGCTTCCCGGGCTCCTCTGTTCCTCTGTGTCATGCTCCCAAGCCGCACAGCAGGCGGGGAGGGAGGCAAGGCTGGGGAGTGGGGCCTGAGCTGAGCACTGCCTGCCCCCCCGCCCCTTCCCATTTCACTGGTGGAGACGTGGAGAGGGTGGGGCGGGCTGGAGTCCGAGGGTCCCACCTGCCACCCTGCTGTGCTTGGGAACCCCCACTCCCCACATCCCAATAGCCTGGTGTCCCAGTGGGGTTGGTGTGCATGTGTACATATGTATTTGTGACTTTTCTTTGGATTTGTTTTGTGTTTTTGTTGAGCAGTCCTGGAAATGTTTGAGGCTAGACGGGGAGGGGCCGGGACCCACCCACTGCTCCTGGGAGACGGGGTCCTGGTTTTAAAGCCCCGTCGTTTCAAGCGGGTGGATCTTCCACATTCGCTGGAGAGACTTTCCCCACCTCTGTCTGGCGGGTGTGGACTCCTCGCTGCCCGCCCGCGCGGGGGGAGCCCGGTGCACGTGGCAATGTGGATTTTCCGTGGTCAAGGTCTTACTGTTTTCGGGGTTTTTAAATAGGAAAACCAACCCTGCCTTCGCCCGTGCCCGCCCTGCCCACAGCAGCCCCTGCAGTGCCAAAGAGCTGCCTTGTCGCTGTGGGCCTCGGGGCGTGGCCGGCTCAGGGCACAGCCTACGGGGGCCTCCAAGGCTCCTCCTGGGACCGGAACCGCCGCGGGGCCAGAGGGAAGGGGCGAGATTTGTGTTGGGGCTGGTTCTGCCCATGCTAGGGGGGCGGGGGACCTCCCAGGACAGATCAGCCTTTCTCATGTAATGCAGTGACGCTGTCATTAAACGCGTGGATTCATGTGTGGCCGGGGCTGGCTGGCTCTAGGTCCCTGGCTAGAGTGGGGTCACACGGTCCTGCCCTAGAGTCCCCATCTGGCTCTGGAGCTGCAGAAGCAACTTCTGAGGGGCTTCCCAGCCCTGCATTTCACAGATGGGGAACTCAGCCCTTGAAGGCCGCAGAGACCCCTCCCGGGCCGGTCTGCCGGGTCGCCGGCCACAGTCTTGCGGGGCCAAGGACTGGACTCCAGGCGAGTCCCTGCGCTCCAGCCGGACGGCCCTGTTCCCGGGAGGAGGTGCTCGCCTGAGCCCATCAGGGAGGGAGGGTGGGCGCAACAGGGCTGAGCTCACCCCCAGGGCTGGCCAGACGGGACCAGGAGGGACAGAGCAAGTGGGGTGAAGGCCGTGGTGGGAGGGGCCCATGATGACGGGCCAGGACTTGTGTAGAAATGGGGGCTTTGGTTCCCCACAGCCCAGGACAGCCGAGAAGGGGTGGAGGGGCCCCAGGGGAGCGTCCGTCAGGCCTTGCGGGGCACGGGGGCCGCTCAGCAGTGCTGGGGCAGGTGCCTCTGCTGTCAACTCCACCCGACAGACCAAGGCCAGTGGGGCCATCACTTCCTGGGGCGACCCTGGCCATGGCTGGGAGATGCCCGGGTGGAGCGGGAGGCTGACGAAGGGCCCCGCAGGGCGGTTTGCGACTTTTCTGTTGATCCTGGAACGTAGGTGGTGCAGTGAGAGGGAAAGAGAATTGAAAAGCTCAGGCTGCCGCAGGTTCTGCAATGAGAGGTGCAGAAGGCAGGAGCCAGGAGCCTGGCCCAGGGGATGCTGGTGCCTCCCCGGGGTCTGGGAGAACAGGAGGAATGACTGGGAAGTGGTTGGGGGAGCCAGGAGGCCTGGGGGCCAGGGGCTGCAAGGGAGGCTGTCGGGGGTGCCTGGCAGCCAGGAGGCCCCAGGTAGTTTTGAGGCTCGCTCTTGTACGGTGCCTGAGAAGACGGTGAAGGAGCCGGGGCAGGTCCTGTCCTGGGCATTGGAGATGATGAAACTGAGCAGACCTGGCCCATGTGGAGCTGGCCTGGGGGGCACAGCCCAGAGACAGGAGCTTATGAGGAAGTGAGGCGGCGGCGTCACAAGGGTGCGGAAGGGGCCCTGGGAAAGGGCGGCCTTGGATCAGGGGCTCACCGCAAGCCTGGCATTTCAGCCAGGGCTAGAGGAGGCAGGGACACCTGGGTGAGAGGCAGAGGGCACAGCCATGCGAAGGCCCTGGGACAGGACGGCACCTGGCATGCGGGAGGAACAGAGTGAGGAGAGGAGGGCAGGGCCTTGTGGGCCTCAGGGAGGACTTTGGCACTTACCCCGAGGGACTGGGGCCCCTGGGTGCCTGTCCAGATGGGAAAGGCAGGGTCGACTCTGTGGGGACCCGACGCAGGGGCAGGGGAAGCCGAGACCAGGGTGTAAGCTCTGCCCCCACCCAAGCCGGATTCTGCCCGAGGCCAGGGCCAGCCAGAGGAGGCAAGGCAGGAGGTTCCTGGATGTTTGTTGGGTTTTATGTTATTATTATTATTTTTTAATTGTGGTAAAATACAAAATCTACCATCTTACAGTGAGGTGGCGTTCAGTACCTTCACCACGCCGTGCAGCCACCACCTCCGATTCCAGAACATTCTCATCACCCAGAAGGCAGTCCTGTCCCCGTTACATCACCTAGTCACCCCCAGGTCCGCCTCCCCAGTTCCAGCACCCACGAACCCTCTCCCTGCCTCTGTGGATCAGCCTGTCCTGGACGTTTCACAGAAGTGGGATCACAGCATGCCCTTCTGTGTCTGGCTCAGAGGAGCGTGACATCCTCAAGGTGCATCCACACTGTGGCCTGGGTCAGAGCTTCGCACCTCCTGGTGACTGAATCTCATTCCAGCACATGGCTGGCCCCCTCCCCCTCACTGGGTGTTCGGTGTTCTCCGCCTCGGGTTGTCACAAATTGTGTTGCTGTGAGGCCCCGTGTGCGGGTCTCATCCTGGGTGTGTTTTACAAACAGACTGGGTGTGAGCGGGTGAGGAGAGAGGAGCTGGGGTGCCAGGTGCCTGCGCCCCTGACTGGGCACCGCCTCTTGCGATCGAAGGTGCAAGGGGGAGACAGAAGCCCCTCAAGGGGGTGTGGATATGGAGAGGCCAGGCCCCAGGTGGGGCGTGCGTAGAGCTGGGGGCTCACAGCCACGGACCCCACCTGGCAGTGGCCCTGGCCGTGCCCCTGCCCACCCACACTGTGTCACCCCCCGTTGTTAAATACTCAGAACGACTCTCCAGCCCTCCCCTCGCTTGAGGCCACCTCACCCCGCCCGCTGCTGGGAGGAGGGAGCCGTCAGCGCTGTTGCCGGAACACTGGGTGGCCTTTATGCTGTCAACAGTGGCCTCGGAGGCCTTCCTGGCAGGAGCGCCAGGGACCCAGGCAGACATGCAAACCCTGAGGCGAGAGGCTGCCCGGCCCTGTGTCCCCTGGGGGACCCTCGAGGCCAGCTTCCCAGCACCTCTCTACAGGTGAGCCCCTCCCTCCCTGGGTGTCAGGTTACATGGGGTTTGGTTTGGGGTCTTGCATGTGTCACTCATTATTCCTAAAAGGCTCCCCTCCAGCTCTTCCTGCTCCCCTCCAGCCTGCGGCCGCTCACTGTGGGGGCCACAGACCTGGAGACAGGCCGAGAACAAATGTGTCTGTGGCCATTTCCAAGGACTGCAAACGCACTGGGAGCTTCGGCCGCAGAAATATCCACCCTCTGAAATCCAGGCGTGTGCGGGCCTGGGCCCTTCTGTGGCTGAGGGAGTCTGTCCCACACCTCTCACAGCCCAGGCACTCCTTGGCCCCCAGTCTCTGCTTCTGTCTTCACCCGGCCTTCCTGTCTGCATCCAAGTTTCCTTCTCCTTATAAGGGCGTCAGGCACTGGATTCGGGGCCATCCTAACACGGGGTGACCTCATCTTAGCTGCATCTGCTAAAACCATTTCCAAACAAGGCCATGTCCGGAGGTTCTCAGCAGATGCAATTTTGGAGGTATGCAAGTCACCCCAATACAGTGTCTATTAGCAATTGTTTAAACAACTATGGAATACTATGCAGCCATGAAAAAGAAGAGTGAAAGCCCTTTGCTCTATTTCCAAGGAAAGAAATTAAACCAAGATGGTGGCTGGGGATGGTGGCCCACTGTAATCCCACCACTTTGGGAGGCTGAGACAGGAGGATCACTTGAGCCCAGGAGTTCAAGACCAGCCTGGGCAACATAGTGAGACCCAGTTTTTTTGTTTGTTTGTTTGTTTTTCTGAGACAGAGTCTCACTCTGTTGCCCAGGCTAAGGTGAAGTGGCACAATCTTGGCTCACTGCAACCTCCGTCTCCGAAGTTCAAGGATTCTCCTGTCTCACGCCTCCTGAGTAGCTGGGACTACAGGTGTGTGCCACCATGCCCAGCTCAGTTTTGTATTTTTTTTTTTGTACAGACTCGTTCTTGTTGCCAGGCTGGAGTCCAGTGGTGCACTCTTGGCTCACTGCAGCCTCTGACTCCCTGCTTCAAGCCTTTCTCCTGCCTCAGCCTCCCAAGTAGCTGGGATTATAGGCATGTGCCACCATGCCTAGCGAATTTTTGTATTTTTAGTAAAGACGGGGTTTCACCATGTTGGCCAGGATGGTCTCGATCTTCTGACCTCATGATCTGCTCACCTCGGCCTCCCAAAGTGCTGGGATTACAGGCGTGAGTCACTGCACCCAGCTGTGAGACCCCATCTCTATAAAAAAATTAAAAGATCAGCCAGGCTGCTGGGTGCAGTGACTCACGCCTGTAATTCCAGTACTTTCGGAGGCCGAGGCAGGCGGATCACCTGAGGTCAGGAGTTCAAGACCAGCCTGACCAACATGGTGAAACCCCATCTCTACTAAAAATACAAAATTAGCCGGGCATGGTGGCTCATGCCAGTAATCCCAGCTACTCAGGAGGCTGAGGCAGGAGAATCGCATGAACCTGGGTGGCAGAGGTTGCAGTGAG